TTTTTTAACATGAATTCCCTAAACTGCCTCTGTAGACACCAGAGGTTCCAAACTACCAGCTGAAAAATTTAACTTTCTTGACCTTTACAATTTTAATTATATTCTCAATCTGTCTAATGTAAAACAAAAAAATCCCCCAATAAGACGTGCTTTTCCTAAAATGCCTCCACAACTTGTCCCTCTCTTGATTTCTGTTTTCTCTTATAAGCCAAATACCACGAAAAAGTGATTTCAACTTGCTATTTCAGATTTTCAACTCACAGTTTTCCATCCACTCTAATCTGGTGTCTGCACCCACTCTTCAACTAAAGTTACTTTTGTTAATGTAACCGGCGATATGCCTGTCACCAAGCCCAACAGATTCTTTTCAACATCGTTTAATAGCTCAGTGGCATCTGGTTGATCACTTCATGTTTCGCAAGGCAGTGTGTCACCCTTTGCTTGACGTGACAACAGGTTCCTTTAGCATCTACTTATTTCTCAGTTGCTTTTGCTCAACTTCTTCTTCCACTTTTACCTTTAGAAGTGTTGGTGTCTCTTAGAATCAGTGAGTCTTCCTTCTTACTGTTTCTTTCTTGTGACTTTACCTCCAGCCCAGGAAGAGCTCCTGAATTTGGCCCTTTATGTCCACCTACTTATTCAACATATCTTCTTGAACAGTGTGTTTGATCATTAAATTCAATGTGGCCAAATTGTAATGCTTATTGTTATCCTATCCCAGGTGATCTTGACCACAAACCTGCTTCATTGGAATGTTTTCTACTTCTCAATAACCAACACTGCAAGGCACTCTCTGCTCATGCTAGCAACATGCTGCTATCTTTGACATGTCCTACCAACACCAACAGCCTATCAATTAAGTCCTGTTGATGCCACCTCTACATAATTTGCCAACTATTTTGCTTCTCTTTGTCACCATTATTGTCACTCTAGCCAAGCCATTACCACCACTTAACTGGTCTTGAGTAAACACTACGGCTATGTACCATCCATTATCTACTCTGGGCTATTTTAAAAATGCCAATTTGATTACATCATTCTCTCTTTTTTAATAAATATTTTTATTCCTTATAATTGGTAACAGGATAAAATTAAAGATCTTTAGTAAATGCCTGTTGGTTGGTCCTTGCCCCACCCCCACCTCTTTCTCCCTTGTTATGTTAAACACACAATTCCTTCTCTTCCTAAAAGTATTATACTTTCTTTCTCTGGAAAGGAAGAAAAGGAGCTGGCAAATTTTTCTAGGACAAGGGCAGATGGTAAACACACTACACTTTGCAGACAAAGAAGCCATGGCCACTGACTCAACTACTCAACCCTGATACCATGGAGTAAAAGCAGCTATGAACGAGACAACTATGTCACTGGGCCATTAAAAGAATGGGCTATGGGCTGGGCCACTGTTTGTCAATTCCTGCTGTAGAAGGCTAATAATCCCCACCCTATCATTTACAGGCTTAAGTATTACATTCTCATTGACATTTTACCTAACCAGGACAAATCCCCTTTAGAACTAGTCATAATTGTAATTAATTAGACATTAATGAAATTCTTTTGTCAATATCTATCTTCCCTATAAAGATGTATGCTCTACCAGAGTGGAAACTATAGTAACTCTGGTATATTATCTCTACCATAATAGGTAGAGAACATGACACATAGTAGCTATCAATAAATTTTTTTATAAAATAAAATAAAACACAACATAAAAATAATAAATATTTGTTGGAGGAATGAATCATAAATTTTCATTTTCACTTTTAGTTTAGGTAAGTTTATCTTTCCAAGCCTTAATTCTTCATTTGGAAATGGACACAACACTGTAATAACAATTGCTTCCCACATTTAACTCAAGGTACTTAGGCAGGTGTGCTTTTTGACAACTCTAATATGATATACTAACATGGAAAGAAATGGAAGCCAGGCATGGTGGTACATGCCTGTAATCAGAGTATTCTGGGAGTCTGAGACAAAGGGGCAGCACATTTGAATCCTGTCTGGGCAACTTGGAGTAACTCTGCCTCAAGATAAAAAATGAGAAAAAGGTTGCAGAGATAGCTTAGTGGTAGAATGCCCTGGGTTTGAACCTCAGTATGGGGGTGGGAAATGCCTTGGTCGTATAGGATGGGAACAAACTAGTCGCTTGGCCCAAATCTTCTCTCCTGTTTTGTTGGCTCTCTAGCTAAGGATGGTCTTTATTTTTTCAAAGTGTTCTAAGAAACTAAACCAAACAAAACCAAATCGAACAAAGTCAAACCAAAACAAATCAAGAAGACTATCATAAAGACCACGTCAGTCCTACAAAGCCTAAAATATTTATTTTCTGTACCTTTACAGAAAAAAATTTGCCAACCCTGACCCAGAACAGGGGTTGGGTTTAAGTAAATATTTTAACTGGTAAATGAGTGACAATTACTTTGCTTTAATATGTAGTAACTAAAGAACAGTACTACTTTTTGCTTTTTATCCATTCAATAAAGTAATTATAGCTATAAAGACACAGCACCCTCTAGCCCTTCACATTTTATTTTAAATTACAGGCTAAAAGGAGTCTATAAACTTTGTAAGTTTTCCTCTGTTACGTCTACAACTGTTTCTGAAAAAGAAGGCTGAAGATGGGGTGGAAATGGGGTGCTGCAAGCCAACAGCACCACCTCCACTGGAAGCTAGTCCTTGTTGCTGTGTATACACTTTCTGTATGCAAGTCTTGGTCTCCAGAAACCAATTCATTATTGGCTTTAGAATACTCAGATTTTATTCTTTGAGAATCTATTATCATTCAGACATTAGAAGTGACACATTCACAAAAAGTAATTAGGAGCTATGTTACTAAAATAAATCCCTCAATGCGATATAAGAATAATTTGAAGTCAAAATATCAAGATTCAAGCTTGACCAAAAAGCTACAACTCTTGTTGCACAGGTCCTGCTTTACCTTGGTCTTAACCATCCAGTAGAAAAGTATGAAGATGAAATATAGGAAGTAAAGCCAT